CAATAGCGCCCGCAGCAGCGTGACGAGCACCGGGCCGAGCCCGAGGTGGGCGAGCCCGCGCAACCGCGCGTTCGGCCACACCCGCACCCGGTCGCAGGGGCAGCGTCGCGGACACCCTGGAGGACCTGAGCATCGTGGACCCCATCCCGCCGACGCTGGAGCCGCTGCGGACCCTGCCCCCCGTCGCGGCGCCGCTCCGCTCGCCGCGCGACCGCTGGCGCGCCGGCTTCCTGGAGCGGCGCAACAACAGCGAGATCATCCTGCCACTCCCGGACAGGACGCAGCCGGACCCGGCCCCCGGCCCAGCCAGCGACGTGCGGCGCCGCTCATTCACGGCGTCCCTCTTCGAGCGGCAGGACCAGATGAATATCAAAGACGAGGGCGTTGCCAGGCCCGGCGAACGTGGCGGTGGAGGCCCCGGCGGCCCCGGTAGCGGGGACGGCGGCGGGGGCGGGGGCAGCGCCAACGGCGCGATGATAGCGGCGGGCGCCGGGGAGGGGGATAGGTGGGGCGCCGGGATGTGGAGCTCTCCAGGGGAAGGGGTTTTTCAGGCGACCTCTGCCGGGGCCCGGCAGCAGGGGTGGCCTCACCAGATGCAGAACGGGCGGACAGGGGATGAGGGCGGCGGTGGCGGCGGCCACGCCGAGGCCAAGGCTACGAGGAGGGGATCGCACCACTCGGTCGGCACGATGCCGCTTACCTCCTCCGAGTCCCTGGGCGATGGGGACGGCGGTAGTGTGTTTTTCTCCGCCGAGGGGTGACGTCATCGTTTGTTAAGTCGGCACGGCGCGCGGTGGCGTGAGGCGAAGACGGGAAGGAGCATGGCGCGAGGTTACGTGAAATAGCCCTCCCCGTGTTTTGGCTTGCCGTTTTTTTTTTTTGCCGTCGATCATGTTTGCGTAGGCTCGTGGCGGAGGAGGAGGTTTTAACAGGGCGAATCGGCGGGCATCGCGCTGTTTAGTGGTGCCCGTTGGCAACAATCAGAGGTAGGTGTGTTGCACGCGGTGGTTGGAAACGCAGGTGATGCGAACCGATCTACATCGGAGGGCGCATCGCAGGCGCGTGTGAAGTGTGTGTTGTTGTCGAGGTTGTGGTTGGGGGGAGAAATGCAAGGGGACAGCCGTACAGCAAGCAGGACACATGTTAGGCCCTCTCCGCTGGAGAAGTCTGTACGCTATCAATTTTATGGTCCCCTCGTCATCGTTTTTTTGTTTTCGATGGTTGAATGGGCTGCTGCTGGAGACAAAATCGCGGTGCTCCCTTCACCAGGAAGATTCTAGAGCATTTCGGGGAAGTATGTATGTGCCGGCCTAGAGAGGATGTGGCCTTTGTTGAAGTCGGCGGAGAGATGTTTTTTCGAAGGGTGGATGGATGAATGGATGGATGGATGGGTTGCATGTGTATTCCAGATGTTTTGGCTGCGATGTTCGTAACCCCAGTTCCGAGATGCCTTGCTTGAGAGATGTATGTGTTGAGGGTAGTTAGTTGGATCGAGGTTGGTTGCGTTTGACGCGGTGTGTGGCCTCGACGATACAAGAGGATGAAATATCAAGTATCCATCCACACTCGATTGTCGTTGTATTGCTTCTGCTGTGTTACTTAAAAACAAAACCCCGTGAAAAAATCAAGTTCCTTGGCCTCGTTGGGCCCCTCGTCGTCGTCGTCGTCCCTGTCCATTGTAGTTATTGCGTGTTCGTCTGCGGGTGTTTAAGGCGTTTTTTGTCCGGGCTGGTCCTTCCGGCGTGAGCCTTTGCTCTGCAGTGCACACCTTTTCGTGTGGGTGGTTGTTGTCGTAATTTATATAAAAAATGCTTTGGCTTACATACAACACAGGATTGTTTGTTTTCCGTCTGGCTGCTGTGTCGCTTATTTTGTTTTTCTCACTTTTTTTTTTTTTTTTCGGTCCATTCATCAATACCAATTTCTTGCCTGCTGGTGGTGGTATGTTGTGGTGTCGAGTTTCGAACAGCGTAACGTCGTGTGCACGTTTTGCTGATTGTGTCAATGCGGTTTGTCTTGTCGCTGTTTTTTTCCGCCAAAGATGCGAAGGTCTTGTTTTTTTTTACTTGCATTTAACTGGGGGATTAGTAATTATTGAAGACTTGCATTTAACTGGGGGCGGGGGGGAGGGGTTAGTCATTATTGAAGATTCGCCTCGATCTGGGGGGAGTACCAACAACGCAAGGGCCGACGTCTGCATACTTGTTAAGGGCGGTGGTCGTGGTGTCAGTCTCACACCCCGCCCGGTTGCTTGGTAGGCCTAGAGGAGTGCATCATATGGTGCACCGGCATTTCTTGCGAATCACAGAACACTACGGACGTTGCAGATTTTCCCGCGGTGAGAGCATCCATTTTTTCCTGTGTGTGTTCTCACCCATCTACTCTACTGTAAACGTACCTTTTCATTAGGCAGTGGGGGCGAAACCAACGGTAGGCGGCAATAGCTGAGCGAGGGCCAGGGGTGCAATGGTTTGGTAATTTTTAACAGTTGTGGAATTTTTTCAAGGTAGAAAAGCCGAGCGTTGGTTGTGTGTAGAGTATTTTTGGGTTCCATTTGCATGCATTCAGGTAGGAGAGGAGGTCAGGTAGAGGGGAGGAAGTAGGCACGATGGAGTCTCCGGTTGCTGTTTTTTTATGTGCCTCAGAACGTACGTTTTGGTGTTGATTCCCTTGTCTTCATAAAAATTCGGTGTCCGTGATGGAAAAAGCAAATATATATATTTACATGTATTCATGTGTTGCGTCCCACTGCCTTTTCCTTGTGGCAAAATCGCGCAGTTTTTCGCTTTTCTGCACCCTGTTGAGCGAGTGTTTGGTCGAGGTGAGCCTTAGGTAGAATGGGCTAGAGGGTGAGAGCCTCAAGCGTGTTTTTGGTCCAAGCCGAGGGAAAGCCGCGTGTGGTGCCGCCGTGAATCACGCGCAAGAACGTGTTTTGTTGACTTTTCTCTTGAAGTTGTTCTGCAGCGACAGCGTCGGACACTGGGCGGTCGAAGAGGTGCTAAACATGTGGTACACCTGTGCTGCGAAAAATACGCGTTGACTTGAGGCTTACGTACGTACTCGACCGCAAGCACCGTATCAGAACCTCATGAGCATGAAGCAACGGGGTGTTGAGTCACCGCCAATGATGATACCAGGCGAGATTGCATCTCCCTTCGCGGGCGGTGATCGAGTGAGGGAAACATGAGGAAACCCATGGAAATAGCCACAAGGCAAGAGGAAACACACGGGAATTGCTCACGGGGGGGCAATAAACGGGTTTTCAAAATTTTGTAAAACAAGGTCATCATCGCCCCTGCCGTCAAGGCCGGGGGTACTGGCGGACAACATGGCAACAACCAATCCATAGTGAGATCATCTCAACTACGCACAGCACAGGCCACCTGGTGGTATACGAATACAAATATTGACAGAACAACACGTGCAACACCCGAGCAGCAGGAACGACACGCCAACGCGTGGGATGTCATCAAAACCACCGTGTGGCATTTACCCCCGCCAGCTCCACCAGCAGAACAAGTTTGATATCCCGCGCAAACTTCCCGCGCAGACCCACAAACGAAGTCTGGAGAGACGGTGAACCAAACTCACGCAGTATCTACCGGTTGGCATCTATCTAGGGTCATCATGAGAAAAAGTCAAAACCGCTCCCCTTCCCCCCTCCCTGCTGACCGCCCTCCCCCAAGAACGCGAACGGGTCGGTGGATTTCGCATGCTGCTGCCCTTGCTGCGCAGCAGCAGGTGGCTGCTTCTGGCTTGACGCACCACCACCAGGCCAGGCCGGCATCCCCATGCCCCCTGGTGGCGCCGGCGCGCCCGGCATTGGCCACCCGACCCCGCCTGCCCCTCCTCCCATAGCGGCCGCCATCCCGCCGCCCGCGGCCAAGCCGGCCATCATGCCGTTCCCCGCGCTGCCGAGCTCGCGCGTCAATTGCGCGATCTCCCGCTGTGTCTTCGCCAGTTGGTCTTCAAGAGATCCGCCGCCGCCGCCGCCGCCGCCATTACCGGCGGCGGTAGCTGCAGCCGGCCCTGCTCCGACCCCGCCCAAAAAGGCTGGGGGAGCCCCACTCGCCGCCCCCATCATACCAAGAGACGGAGAGGCCACTTGCTGCGGGCTGTTCGCAGCCCCCCCCCCCGCCCCCCCCGCAACCGCGGCGTCAAAGAAGGCGGCGAATGGGTCGCCCGCAGAAGCCCCTCCTCCACTCGCCGGTGGCGGCGACGAGAAGCTCGCACTCGGCTTCGGGGGAGGCGAAATTCCCATCGACGTGGCGGCCTTCGCTCTGCCAGGAGCAGCGCCTTCTAGCCCGGATAAGCCACCCAACCCGGGTGATTGGTTCGAGATTTCCCCACCGCTACCGCTATCGGCGGCGCCCCCTGTTCCTCCAAACGACCCGTCCATCCAACACATCCCGCCGCCTGCGGGAGCGGCGTTGCCGGTCGCCGCGGCCCCGAAAGTACCGCCGAGACTCGCCGAAGCGAACGGGTCCGAAGACCCGCCCGCCGTTCCGTTCGTCGCCGGCCCCTTATTATTCTGCTCCCAAACCGACAGGCCCTGGAACATGTCCGCCGCGGACGACGCAGAACCATACCCCGACGACTTGCTCCCCCCCCCCCCTCCGCCGCGGCCGCCGCTTATACCAAAAACCGCAATCGGCATGGCGGTGCTGTTGCTCGCGGGGGACAAGTTCCCCGAGAACGCCCCCGGCTGAGCACCCGCTGAGCCCGAAGACGGGGCGGGGGGTGCCGACCACATATCCGCCATGTCGAAGCCGCCGCCCCCGGAGGAGGAGGACGGCGCCGGTGCTGGCGCCGATCCCGGGAACGACGCCGACACGGGAGAGAGGGGCCTTGAAGCCGCCGCCGCCGCCGCCGCCTTCGAAGAGGCAGGCGGCGCTTCTTTCCAGCCGCCCAGAACGATCGCTCGTTGCCTCGCTATCTCCGCCTCGTCCGGTTCTCCGCCGGGGTGGGTCGGCCGATTATCGATGATGGCCGTGGCGCTGGGGTTGGCGATCTGTTCCCGCCGGTACTTGATGACCGTCTCGAGCATGCCCTGGACGATCCCCACAGCCATCTCGAACTGGTTGGAGTTTAGCCCCTTGCACGCGAGCATCGGCGTGCACGCCGGCAGGATGTGCGTGGCCACCGGGCCGAGCTTCTCCAGGCGCTTCGCGATGGCGTCGTAGCACCCCAGCACGCACAGCTGGATCGCAACAGTCTCGTCGCGTTCCGCGCAGAACTTGAGCGTCGGCAGGACCTGGAGTCCGAACAGAGGAGAGAAGCGAGTGACGACGTGACGCGCAACAAACGAAGTCAGGGGTTTGGTGTCATATCTGCAGGAAACGTTGCAAGCTCACATTCAGTGCACCCCTTGCCCCTCCAATATCGTCCTCGCTAAATAGTTGGGGATACACGTATATCTGTAAGCCACATCCATGCCTCAGGCTGTTGCAAGAGCAAGGAGAGCTCACGTGGCCAATCAGCGGCTGCTATTGGTCCAAGGCTGCGAAAACACGGCCAACATGTTAGGTACACGGCTGTGGCAGCACAAAAATTCCGACGACAGCAGAGAGAACACGCAAAACAAGAAGTACTTCTTACTAACCTTGTCCACGACGGCCCGGACCATGAGGAAGTGAAACGTCTTGGAGAGGCAAAGCAGCGCGTTGACCTTGACCCGCACTGCCGTCCCTCTCACCACGAGCCAGCAGACTCGCGGCAGGATCGCCAGCTCCCTCGTCTTCCCGTCGATCGCACCATGAAACGCATCGTCCGCAACAGCCTTCAAGGCGGCCTCCTGGACGTCCATGGCCTTCTTGGTGGACTCCCTCACTTGCGGGTTTCCTTGTGCTTGGAGCGCTCTGGAAAATAGTTGGAACGGGAGAAGAGAGAACGGGGGGGCGGGAGGGAAAAAATAGACGCATTCATTTCGTTGCTTTCTGTGCTGGGTGGGCCATCGACCCTGCTACCTTTGGCGAGGAACGCCGGACCCGCTCCTATTAAATAGAGACACAGTCGACTCCCCGGGCGCTGTAAACTGCGTGCGGCCGTACCTAGGAACTTTTCTAATGGGAGTGGACGGGATAACTCGAGCGATTTCTTTCCACTCAAGGACAACGACCACACGCTACGGGCGGATCGGGACTTGTTTCTTCTCAAGCCCAACGAAAATTCTCCGCCAAACAACTCGACCAACAGCAGCACACGGCGCCTCCACACAACCTATTTCCTTCTCCAATTCGACAACCGACAACTGTCCGCAATCACCTCCAAATCCCTCCCTTCCACAACCACCTATTTTCTCGTCCGATTCGAACCGACACACAATCGTCCGGATTCACACCCTGTCGCGTCCCCACCTGGACCACTACCCGACAGTCCCGTCCAACAAACTCGTTGAGCAAGCTCACCTGCACACCATCGGCACCACGTCCGAGCGAAAGAAGGTGACCTCCATCTTCTGGAGGAAGAGGGGGATCGCGGCCACCAGCGAAGCCAGCGCCTCCAGGGGCTCGGACCTAAGGGCCGGGCCGAACTTCGCCTGCACGGAGGAGATGATCTCTCTCCGGTCCAGCTTCTCGCACACGTCGGTAACTATCGGGAGCGCGAACGCCCACAGCCGCCCGGACGGCTCCGCGGCGCAGGCGTCCATGAGGGGCATCATAATGCAGTCCCGCTGGACTCGGAGCGGGAACCCCGAGACCGCGGGTCTAACCGAGGTCAGGAAGGTGGCCGCCTCCGCCGGGTTCCGGCCGGGGATGCCGTCGATCGTCTTGAGCACCGTCACGTCCTTGCCGTGGAACATTGGGTTGATGGTCACGTTGCCGAGGAGGGGCCGCGCCGTGGCGCTGAGCTGGACCAGCGACGCGACCAGGGTCTGCACCTCGGGGAACAGGGGAGAGACGTCGACTCGCCCGGGGTAGTCCAGCGTGGCGCAGAACGTCTGGTGCGCCTGGGGCGTCGGGTCGGCCGTGCACAGGCGGCCCGTGCGGGAGTCGTCCCGGCACAGCTGGTACATGAGGGTGCCCAGGGAGAACATGTCGCTCGCGCACGAGACGTCGCTGCTTCCCGCGGGCGCCGTCGCCTCCGGCGACGAGAAGGCCATCACCGGGTGCAGCCGCCACGTGCCCTCGAACCCGGACCGGGCGCCCGTCTGGAAGTACGGGCACGGCGTGCTGCTGGCGCCGGTAGAGGGGAGGTCGACGCTGAAGCCGAAGCCGCCCAGCTTGAACTGGCCGCTAGGGGCCAGGAAGATGGACTCCGGGGCGAGGTTGAGGTGCAGGCGCCGCCGTATCGTGTGCACGAACTGCAGCCCCTCGCACAGGCCGAAGAACCCGCGGGCGACCTCGTACCGCTCGAAGCCGCGCCGCGCCGCGGACGCCGCCACCGGGGGAAGGGCGCCCACGGGGCTCTCCCCTATCGCGTCCGCCAGAGAGCAAGACACGCGCTCCGTCACGAAGGCGAGGAGCTTCTTGGTCTCCTCGAAGGACTCGATGTGCCGCACGACGCTCGGGTGCTTCCGCGCCGCCATCCCTTCCAGCACCTTGAGCTCTCGTCTGAGAATCACGAGCACCTGCTCT